ACTTTGCATGTAAACTCGCTGCTTCTGTCGCGCCAGCTGCGTCCAGTGTGTGCATTCGTTGCGTTCGCCTGTCTGCTAAGCTCAAAACAACCGCGCCTGGCTTGACGGAGAAACCAGGAGAACAGCTGTGCATATTTACGACAGTGCACTTTTACTTTCGCCCTCTGGGGGGAGCCTCGCTGGAAAATCAACACCGGTTGCATAGTGTACCTTTAAGTTCTAATTGTATTTTAGACATTGTCATTTTAAAAGGATCTATAAATTTGTCAGTAGCTATGACTGAAAGGAGAGAAAGAGAAGAAAAATTCAAACTTAGCCCACTGGTGAATCGTTCATTTTTTTAGAAGTCTGAGGGCACCCCATGTGGTCCATGAGGGGCCCCTTGGTTGCTGCGGGCACCATGTTGGTGACCCCTGCACCAGACTCAACATCAGAGCTCAAACTAGGCTAAATTATCATTGAACACATCAGTGTTTTTCTTAGTTGATACATCTCTTATTGGGATGCTGACTTAAGATTTCACCAGATGTTTTGTATAATCCATTTTGACAAAATGTTTCTTTAGATTATGCGCATAAATGGAATAAAGAGAATGTGAGTTTCAATGCAAAATAGTAAAAAAGACAGGAAACGAGCTGAAATCTCTTCATAGTAATGGTGTTTCTCTTCTGAGTAACATTCAACTGAAATGCTTCAAAAAACTGATTTGATAATCAGAAAGTTGGAGCATCCTGATTTAAAAAAATAGTCACTTTCCCCCCTGAATTGCTTGCTTGTCATCCACATGCTTGTCTTTCCTGTTTATAAAACATTATGTTTTAAAGCTGTTTGCAGAATCGGCCTACAAAGAGGTGCTTCAGTTCTAAGACATTAAGCAGACCGAATTTAACAAGAGAGCAAGAAGCTCTCCAGACCTTTGCAATCCTATTGGTAAAAGACACACAGAAGGGAACCTATTTAAAGTTTTCACTGTCTAACACTGGAACCATAATCTGGAGGAGAAAAGAACGTATTATCACCATAAACCAGCCACAGCTGGATGCTCACCTTCACAATTTCTGACACAGATGTCAAAATCATAATCAGACCCGGCGCCATGGACCTCCCCACTGAGAGCTTCACAAAGACCAGGAATTAGCATCTTACAGAGAAGGGCTTTAAGGCTGAGAAAAAAAACTACTTGGAGTTGATATACATTTTCTGTACGTGCCAATTAAAATACAATGGAAACAAAATTTGGACAAAAACATAAAATAAAATAAACCTTATGACAGATTTTTGGGGGCACCATGTTTGTAAAAGGAAAGAACTCCTAATTACACCGAAGCAAACACACTGAGGAATAGCTAAAAATAAACAAATATAGAAGTAATTAATGAAAAAAAATGTCAGGGTGCAGATTTATGAAAAATAAACCATGACTTATAAGATTATAACCTTCATCTAGTTCCTTCAACTCTGCATTTCTGTAGTGTGCTTTAGAATATTCTTTCCCCATTTAATCATTAAGCCTCCAAACTAAAAGGGGAAAAAAAATCAAATTGCGAGTTAATGAGCTGCTGATAGTATTATTTCACAGCCGGGTTCCCGTGTGCAGTGACTGATGTCGTGTGCCGACCTGTTAATACAACAAATTAGGAGTTCAGCGTGTGTTCTTACCCTCGGCAAAACCTTTGGAGGAGTCTTGGCCTCAAGGACACTCGAGCTCACGTGTTCAGCTGCTATCAAGTTAGACCATCGTTTGTTTCTGTTATGTAACACGAACAATCTGAGAAACTCCAGCTGCAGTTCTTGTTAAGTTTAGATCAAGAATGACTGTAACTCCATGAAGAAGCAAACTTAGATCATGTTTAACTACAAAGACTTTTTAAAAGTGTTTAGATCAGCATTTTCTCTGTCATCTGATTTCAGATGCTCAATCAGAAGAACCACATAAAACCACATCTCATCTCCATCGCCTCAAAGCCTATAGAAGAGCTTTTGTTGGGAAATGCACTATACATGTGAAGCTGAAATGAATGATTTAACCCAGATAATTTTTTGATTGGCTGTTGAAAAACATTACATTTAAGAAAAACCAAAAAACAGGAATTGGTTTTGCATTCATATGCATCTATAGGCTACATCACTTATTTCGATTGTTTTTAAAGCTTTTTGGTGCAACAGAACATACATTTGTTCTCCATCATGGAGGTGTAGAAACTTAGGGAAAAAAAGAGTTCAAAAACTAAAAATTATGTAGATTAGGGGTCTGCAAACTTTAGTCATTGAGAGGCAGCAGGGCAGCTTGATCAGAAGGCTGGATTACATCCTTGGCAAACAAACATATTCTTCAACTTCATTATTCTAACCAACAGTTACCAGATATTAACCCTTCTGGACCAAAGTATAACTTTTCGCTGCATAGAAACTGGAAGTCTGCATTTTCCTTCCATCTTCTCACAAAAGCAGAAAAGAATTAACTAAAAAAAAACAAAAAACATCCATTTTCTGTCACGCTTATCCCTGCTGGGGTGGCGAGGGGTGCCGTTGCCTTTCTCCAGCTGTCAATGGGGGAGAGGCGGGGTACAAGCTGGACCGGTCGCCAGGGCAACATAGAGACGAACAGAACAAGCAACCATTCACACACACACTCACACCTAAGGATAATTCATGGAAGCCAATTAACCTAAAAGTCATGTTTTTGCACTGTGGGAGGAAGCCGGAGTACCTGGAGAGAACCCACGCATACACAGGGAGAACATGCAAACTCCATGTAGTGTAGAAGCAGTTTTATTGTCTTATATATCCTTACACGGGGCCCCAAAGCTACTTAGCAACAACATAGTACATGCTGAAGGTCAAGTATGAGTCTTAGCAATAATAAAGTCCCTAATGCCTTATTCGTACGGAATTAGATGATGTATGAGGAGGTTTGGCATAAACAGAGAACATCTGTATAAACATTCCTCCCACTGTGTTAAATCGACCGCTGGCGTCAACCAGCAAACGTGAATTCCAGTAAGCTTTCGACATGATATTCCTGTGCATGTGCAGTTACGTCATGCGATGTGGAAACTATAAATGCCACCTAGAATGGGCTGAAGGTTGGGGGATAACTGAATTGTGACGATGAATTGCTGGATGTATGAAGTGTTTAAGACAGCTGTATGAATTCGGTTGTAATTAAATGTTTCCCCCCTCCGGATGATAAGATGGTGTGAATCGTGGCCTTCTTTCTGTCATAAAGGGAATTCTACCAATGAGCTTCCATATTAGAAAGACCACAGGAATGGAACCCAGAACCTTCTTGCTGCAAGGCAGCAGTGCTCCCCACGGCTCCACTGTGCAGCCCCAGATCTCGCTTCCTTTTTCTTCTTTTAAATGTAAATTGTCCTTTTCCAGTGGCAAGGTGTCTCACTTACCTGCTCAATTGGACAACAAAAGTGTTTGTTTTAAGAAAAACTGACTCACTTGGATTTATGTTTTTTGAACTGTAGGTGTTTATCTTGACAGCAGTGCATAAATTTGGAACCTCTCCTGCAAATTAAACAATAATCAAAGAAGTCCGAATTTAATTCTATTTATCCAGCCACATATGAGGTCTGTTGATATAACATTTCCTTCAAAGTTCAAACAAACAGCTGAGATGGCAGAGTGATGGATGTGGGTTGAAATAAAGCAGAGGGTGCTAACATGAAGTCCACTACAAAAACCTGATCTAAAAATAGGTTCAACTTCCATACAATTATAGTTTTTCCCTTCATTTCAGCTGGTAAATCAAATGAGCTGACAAAGGAACGAGTGTTCTTGTGCTTAAAATGAAAGGATGACGCACTTTTTATTATATTTTTAAAGATAAATAATTGTATTTAATTTAAATAAAGACAATTTTGACTGACTTTGCATTGTATACCAAGAATCTGATACACCAAATTTGAGACCAACTGCTAATTCTAATCCTTTTATTTTAGGTTAAAAACTGCAGGATTGTGGAAACTGTCTAGTTGCTCTTTGGCATTTCCACATTATCTCAAAATAAAATCTCCTCTCAGTACTTCTGTGAACTAAAAATGCAATCATATAAAACTGGTAAACAAGGAAAGCATCTTAGAGCCATCCATCACGCTGTCTTGATGTGTCAGGTTGTTCAGATCTGTGAGAGAGAAAAGGAGAGCTTTTTAAAGAAACATGAAGGCCAGAGCAGAGCAAGCAGACTGCTACTGTTTGAAAATGTCACCAATCCATCAATCTGATAGGTAAAGGCCAGTCCTCTCATTATACTGGATGTGTGTGTCTGCGCTCTTTGAGAAGAGGAGGTTGCTGACCCAGCCAACACACTCCACACACACCATTATGGTCTGTATTTTAATGAGCATCTTGGGGATCATCTATAATTCATTTACAGCGGCTCTGAACCTGCGGATGCTGTGTGTATCTGTGTGTTCTGCTGATCCGTAAAGTAAAGCATTCAAAATGAGTAAACTATTTTGCACCAATTTGTTCAATTATTAAGTATTAATAATAGTGTCTAAATTACTTTTTATGTGCTTTTAATAAAAATTAATTGCAAATACTGATCTGAAAGTAAATAAAAAGTTCTTTAAAAAAGTGTTTTTGCTCATAAATAAGATAATCTGCCAATGGGATGAGGAATGTCACCATTAAGATAAGATATTATGCACTATTTTTATATTTTAAACAGAACTCATCCTATTCTATTTGCAAATTGTTTACTTCTCTGCTCAAATACACATATTTAAACAGAAATAGACTTATTGTTCAGGGCTTTTTTGCATCGTATAAATCTGAAATCTGGTTTACTTTTAGTGATATTCTTCTAGACTTTTCTCAGGTGCATTAATGGGTTAAACATCTTGGCTCATTTGAGCGGGTCGAACTAAAATATCCCGAACAAAAGCTCATTGATTTCTATGCGACTTGTTACAGCTGTAGCACAGGACACCCTTCCCCCGGATCAATAGATCAGATGTCATGTTCATTATTTTCTCTCTTGGCAGGTGCACCGCTCTACACTACGACTCAGATCTTCCTCCAACATCCATCATCATCACCTTCCACAACGAAGCCAGATCCACTCTGCTCCGCACCATCAAAAGGTAATTTGGCTTCCTGGAAGCAGGGATGCATCGCTTCACCAAACCTGCAGTTTGGACTGGTTCTGTTCTGAGTTTGGGAAAGAAATGTGATAAATCTAATTACTTAGGATCCATTTTTTTATTATTGTTATTTTAGATACAAGTCTTTCCACATAACCTTTTATTTTACCATCAGTTGTCTACAGTGTTTGGAGGTTATAACAGGCTGTTTATGCTGAGCTGCATAACTTTGTGACACCTATTCATCATTATCCTCCACAACTTTTTGCTGTATTTTCTGAGAGGCTGTTTGAACCCTGCAATGATTAAATGTTTTGTTCTTTATTTTTTTTATTTTTTTTACTGAGCAGGTCTTTTCATTCCTGCCTTGCAGCAATAAAGTCAATCCATGTCTTGATTCTTATTGCATGCTGTCCCTTTAAATGCCTGTTCTCTGGACAAAATTGAAATCTAGATAAGTCACGTTTTTCTTAAAATACGTGCATTTGTTCTTAGATTGAGGAGGAAAAAGAAACATTTTGCCAATGAAACAAGACAATTTACACCTAAAGTAAGAAAACACAATTGCATTTTCGTATTTCAAGTGCATTTTATCTAATTTTCTTATTTTAACAGTAAAAACATCTCATTTACCTACTCAAATTAAGGTTAAATACACTTAAGCTTTTATTTTCTTATTTCTAGATTGTTTTTCCAGTGTTTAAATGCATGCTACAGCTTTCTCTCAAAATACAAAAACATGAATGTTAGGTTAATCAGTTTCTTTAGATTCTCCTAACTAAGCCTGATTTTATCTTTAAGTTTCCAATTTGATGAGTTGGAAACATTTCCTAATGTTTTCTTCGGATTAAAGTTTTGTTTTGCCTCCAGGGTTTTACTTCCTTCCTGAGATGAAAACTCTAACTGCTTCATCTGTTTTGTTTTGATTTTACAGATTTTGTTTGCTCGTCTCTTTCTCTTAGTTTTAAAGTTTTTTTGTATCCTTTTGTTATGAAATATGTGCTGTTTGTGGGACATCTGTAAACATTAAGGAATTCCTAAAACATCTTTCCAGATAGTAACCTATTGTCGAACATTTTATTTAGATTTTTTTTGACTTCCAACCAAGGGTGTAACTTTGTAATAAAAGTTGGTGTGGACACTCTAACAGTTACTCAACCCAAACGTTTTCATTAAGTTTTTCTATTTTCTAAAAAATTAGTTCAAACATAGTATATTTATTGAATGCTTCCCTATTGTTTAGAACACAAGAGAGCCATAATACACTGATATTTATATTTCTAGATGCTAGAGAGATGTCTTTTAATGCATTACATTTATAGGGCCCAAAAACATTTATGTATATATATAAAAAAAAAAAGAATAACAGCCAATTGCGATGCCAAAATCGATATATCATCGATATATCATCCCTAGAAGTACAATTTCAATTCCATCCATCCGGAAAAATATGGATATGCTTCATTTTAAAGATGGCATAGCATATTTTTTTCTTGTAAACTTAGAGATATACTGTATTTTATTGCATGTTGCATATCCCAGTTAATCTGTTTCCCCTTTAAATCTGCAGCTCTCCTTACTTCTCTCTCTGCTCTGTTTAAAAAGATTAACGAACCTCTTTACTAATAGGATGACGCCAAAAACAAAATTCAAGATATGTAGGAGCTCTGCAGTCTGATTCTGTCTGTTTTATAAGAAAACATATTATTTTTAACCTGATTTTTTAAAATAGTAAAGAAGAGCAAAGTATATTTTCTCAAGCTTCTTGCATTTTAATACTAACTTGTATAAACTTAAAATTTGTTGCTGTTTTTAGCTGAAAAAGCTCTGTATGTCAAACAAACAGATTTTTCAGTGGTTTGATCTCAAATTTTTTAACCAACCCATCTTCTAACTTTAACTTAAACATCAAAGTAGCTGCTGGTTATTATTTACTGAGTGCTGCTGTGTGTCTCTTTTCCAACCACGTAGCTACTCTCTAAGCAGTGAAATGCGATTGCAAATCAGATGACTCACAGCGACAGATCCGATGATGTAACACCGAGAGGCGGGACACGGGAGCAACGGGAGAGAAGAAAAAAAACACGGAATCAATACGCTCTTAACACAGATAGCTGCACTCAACCTCTGTTACCTTTGGCTAAAGTAAATGAGCGGACAGCGGAAAAAATCGGAAATTATTGGTGGGGACATGTCCACTAGCCTCGTGAGACCATCCTGATCTCGCAAGCTTTCAAGGATTCACTCGCAAATCAGTCTGGAGACTCTCTGTTAAAGAAAATTTGGAGCCGTTCAC